ATTCGATGACGACGCACGCCGGTCATTCCAAGCACTTAAGACGGCTATGCTCATGGCACCCGTCCTTAGCATCTATGACCCCACCCTGCCGACGCGACTGACTACGGACGCTTCCGGCTATGGCATTGGGGCAGTCTTGGAACAGCACGACGGCGACGACTGGCACCCTGTGGAGTATTTCAGCCACAAAGTGCCTCCGATCAACTCGCTTGATGATGCAAGGAAGAAGGAGCTGCTCGCATTCGTGAAGGCTCTCAAGCGCTGGCGGCACTTCCTCCTTGGGCGTCGTAGGTTCACATGGGTCACAGACAACAATCCATTGACCTACTACAAGACGCAGGACACGGTGAGCAGCACGATCGGACGATGGATGTACTTCATCGACCAATTTGACTTCACACCGAAACATGTCCCCGACCTCTCCAATCGCGCAGCAGATGCACTCTCGCGAAGACCTGATCTTTGCGCTATGTCACATCATGCCTTCGCATTGGACGAGGAGCTTCAGCGACACTTCATCCGGGCATATCAGTCTGGTCCAGACTTCGGCACGCTCTATGCACAGCTATCTTCGGATCACCCGCCGATCAGCCATTACCGCATTGCCGACGGGTACTTGCTCCTCCACTCGAGAGGCAAGGACTTACTATGTGTCCCACTCGACCGTCGTCTTCGGACTCGCCTCCTCGGCGAGTACCATGATTCACGACTCGCTGGTCATTTTGGAGTCAACCGCACTATTGCACGGCTTCGACAGCGATTCCGATGGCCCGACCTCATTACCGATGTCACTCAGTATTGCGACTCTTGCGAAGTTTGCCGACGCAGCAAGCCCCGCAACCGCAATCCCTACGGCGAGTTACACCCGATGCCTATCCCACGGGAACCCGGTCTCTCCATTGCCATGGACGTCACCGATCCGTTTCCTCGCGACCGGCTCGGGCACGACGGGATCCTCACGGTTGTGGACCGATTGAGTAAGTACGCGCRTTTTCTCCCTTGCAAGTACTACTCCACGGCTCCCGAGCTGGCACGCCTCCTGCACACTGGTTGGATTTGTGGCCACGGTGTACCAGAAGACATTGTCAGCGACCGCGGATCACCGGCGCGGATGGGACATGGTACGCGACGCCTGTTGGCTTGCTGCTGCATGCGGACTTGAGCCTTTTGCATATTTGCGCGGGCTTGAGTCAGCAATTCCCTGTACTTCCGGACGGAACCGAGAGAGCAGGCAGCGTCAATGTCGGCTAGTCAAGGGAGGAGAAGGTCGGCGAAGATCCGGCCTTTCCGTCTACCGTGGTGCAACTCGAATGGAGTCACGCCGATCGCCGGATGCACTGAAGTGTTGTAGGCGAACTCGATGTCGGGGAGGCGGTCAACCCAATCTTTCTGGTCCGGACGGATGAGCGTACGAAGCATCATTTGAGCGGTTTGATGTGCCCGATCCATCTGCCTGTCTGTCTGAGGATGTCGAGCCGAACTTGGTTTCATTGTTGTGCCGTACTCCTGCATGAGAGCAGTCCAAAACGCCGACATGAAACGAGTTTTTGGGTCTCCGCGAAAGAGTTTGCACTGGAACAGGATGTTTCACGCAAACTACTTCCCAAGTGGTTTGGACCTTGGTTTGTGACAGCAGCCGCGGGCGATGAGCCCGATGGCCCTTCATTTGTGATCAACATTCCAGAGCATCTGACGGTCCATAAGGTCTTCCACGCCTCGAAGCTGGCAACATACACCCCAGCCAAGAGCGACGACTTTCCGGACCGACGATCGCATGACCCTCCTTCTATGGATGGCCATCAGGAAGTTGATCGCGTCATCTCYGATCGCAAGTACGGCAGCAAGCCGCGACAGTACAAAGTCACATTCAAAGCATGCGATCGCGGCGACACTCGGTGGATTTCAGGCGCAGATTTGAAAGCATCCGCACCGCTGATCTACGCGCATTATGAAAAGCGGAGGTTAGCTCACGAAGCTTCACGACCAGCCCCTCCCATCCGGACTGTGGTCCCTCCCTCAGACAGACAGGTTCGCCCTCGCAGGTAAGCTCGGTTCTTCAAGGAGGGGGGGGTGTGGCATACTGCGTAGCCACACGGGCCCTGCAGGGCCCGTCCCGGACATTCAGCCTAAAAGCCTAAAACTTAGGGCTTACAGACCCTGTTCGTTTCAGCCTGGATGCTGAAAAACGAGGGCCTACAGGCCCTACCCCGTTTCAGCCTATTTCAGGGTCAGAGTTTTCAGCCTGAAACGGAGGGCCATTTTCAGGCCCTCACTGTTTCGACCTGCCCCTAAGACTCAGACACGTAAACAGGGATGCGGAACAGGCCAGAAATAGCCTGTTCCTCACGAGTTGAGCAGGAGCTGCAGCGGCAGCCCCTGCCTCCCTTCGGCAGGCTCAGGAGGCACACCCGTAGTACATAGGAAGTTCCCATGCACTTCACGGGTAGGTAGTGTCGGTAGGCAGTGGTAGTCTTCAGGATTCGGCCGCAGCACTCAGGAGGAGCACTGCAGTAGTCTTCAGCGCTAGGTGGTTAGCGCTAGCAGTAGTTTTCGGCGCTGGGCGCCATAGCTGTAGCTGTAGTCTTCAGCGCTGGGCGCTGGTAGGTGGTAGATTGTAGAGTGGGAGAGAGACTGGCGGAGGCCTGTGTTACTTACCTGTGGTGCCATCGCTCCAGCTCCATCTTCGTGGTACCTGCATCAAGGCGCCAACTTCACAGGTTAGTACTGGACACAGAGAGAGAGAGAGTTCTTCTTCTTCCTCTTCTAAGTCCACCTTCTCTTCTCACCCTCTCGCCACCTGACTTCTCAGACTACGACAGAGAGAGACAGAGTTGTGACTTGAGACTTGATGACATTGGATCCAGACTTGACATTTGGGATTTAGACATTTCGACGAGGGACTATTTGGGCTTGTGCCGAAGACTTGGTGTTGACGACATTCCCATCTTCCCCCTCCTCTTCGTCTATTCCCTTCCTCTTCGTCTGTGTATGGTACGGGCGGGCGCTGTCTTCCTGTGTGAAGCGCCAGGCCCATTCACACCATGTAACGATGATGATGATGTATGTTCAAGGCTGCATTACAACATTGATTGTTCGGATCACTGGTATCTAAGTCTTCCGTTGTGCTATCTTATACTTTGTATTGAAAGGTCGGTTCTTGTTCTGGTCTGCACGTTACAGTATGCAACATCATCCCACCCCCCTCCACCATCCCATCCCATAGCCATCCCGTTCTTTTTCACATCCGCGACCCCTTCTGCCTGCTCTCGTATACGTTGTAACCTCTTTCTCGAGAGAATGGGAAATAGTCTCTGTGTGACAACCCGCATGCAACACACGCACATGCCACACACACACACAGAGAGAGAGAGAGAGAGAGAGAGAGAGAGAGAGAGAGAGAGAGAGAGAGAGAGAGAGAGAGAGAGAGAGAGAGAGAGA